AATACATCCCAGAATGATGTTTGCTTTTTTTTGCAACAGTGTTACACCGTTGACTCATATTTAGCTTGTGATCCACTATGACCCCCGGATCCCTTTCCGCAGTACTCCTTCCTAGACAGTCATTTCCCATTTTCTGTGTGTGCAACTGATCGTTCCTAATGGCACTTGGGTCAGGAGAAGGGTGATGTGGAGCTGGAGAGGCAACATGAGGGTCAGCTGTAGCAACCACTTTGACAAGCGGAAACCAGTGTTGCTAACTCTCACAATATTATTGAGAGTCCTGTGATATTTGTAGTTTTTCAAAGTCTCAGCTCCTGATTTCATGTGATTGTTAGAATTTCTGCTTTCATTTTTTTAAAGCATCTAGCCATTGTGGTTGCAGGAAAAAGCTTGAAAACATGACTTGATCGCACCTTAAGGGCTCAAAAGGCAACTAAAAAGAACCCCGAATCTATTGTTTTTAGAAAATTTCATGACTCTTTTATGCCAATTTCATTATTTTGGGAACTTGGGGGATAGCAATACTGAGAAATTGGAGAGGTCGGCCAAGAGGGGAGAGACGGGAGAGCAACAGGTTAGATCAGACCATTTCAGCACTGACTGAAACACTGTGACCTTTTTATTTACATGTCCCTCAAAGCAAGAAGGGCATGACTGGGATTTGCTCCGCTATCCCCCTGTTAAATCTTCCTCTAATGGGGGGCTGAGGTGGACCAAATGCAAGATGCAGAATTAAATGCTATGGTCTGTGATTGCTGCTCAGGTCCAGATGCGGCATTGCATGTTGGGACCTGCAGTCTCCACAGGCCATATCTCCCTATTAAAGAGGATGTTGGCTGCAATGTGCTTTACTTTATGCAATGTATATGTGACTGTGATGTATATGTGACTTGCAATAGCCAGTGTAGTCCTTGAGCAAAATTTGTTTGCCCTTTAGGTTTAATGTGTAGGAACAGTTTGGTTATTCTCTGTAAAAACCACCTAAAAAAGCTGGGGGAAAAAATCTTTGCAATGAGAGATTCTTCTAAATATAGATATGGCTCTTTTTTTCCTTCTCCTATCAGTAGATTTTTTGCTGTCATAGAAACAAGTTATTTCTTTCCTCTCGAAAAGCTAATTAGAAACATGATGAGAGAAACCTCAGATATAATTAGAAGAAAGTCTAATAGTGAATTCAACTCACCAATGCAAGGCACATCCTGAAACCTGGTCTTAATTTTTACTGTCATCCTTGAAATATTGAGTGGAGTAAAGATTTGCTTAATGGGAGTAACCTTGTTCCTAAGTGGTCAGTGAGGCCAGATTTCCAATACAAACCAGCTCTGTTAAGCAATAAAGAAGACTTGAAGTTGCTATCCATCTTTGTTATCTCCAGCTGAATATCATGATACTTGAACTAATGTATAAATATAGAGAATTCCAAGTTAAAATATGTACAGCAGTATTATTTTACAAAGATGTACACATGACTCAAATTTTTGATGGTCAATGACCCTCTTTGTATGCAAAGAGGAAGTGTTGTCTTTTGGTCAGGCATGGGGATGGGAGTAAGATTTCCTGGATTCTATTTCCAGCTCTGCCATGAATTTACTGTGGAAGAAATTCATATCCTTTGCACAAAATCAGAGTAATCAGGGTTTAAGCAAGGGAAAAATATGGGTGGGGGTGGGGAACAGAATCTCCTTTTCCCCCAGCCACAAGGCAGGGCATGGGACAAAGCACTTTTGAGCTGTATTAAGGACTATAGACTGCTGGACCCTGCCATGTATAACCAATGGACCTATATAGTCATGGACCCACCAGCTGAAAGCAGGGTAGGATTTAAAAATAGAATTGTATGTCTGTATGAATAGTAACATCCATAGATACATTAAATAGATGAAAAAATTATAATCATAAACCCTCATGGCTCAGGGCATAAGGCAGCTACTAACTTCCTGAAGTTAAGAGAAACTTTTCCTCTGTGAGCAGGTTACTCCATAATTGTCCATTATGGGTTGTTGGGTTTTTTGTTTGTTTGTTTTGGCCCCTTTTTCTGAAGCACCTGGTATTGGCTAGCATCAGAGACGTGGCACTGGTCTAGATAAACATTGGTTGATCCTGGTATCACCGTTATGTTGGAATAGCAATAAGTGATGTGAAAGTAACAGGAATTATAAAACATATAGCTATATCTTGACTACTAAGACTGTAAAAACAAGCATTACAGTTTTTCATTCGGTGGATTACTGCACCTGTGAGCTGGGTTTTGCCACCCCCTTGTTGGGTTGTATAATGTAATCACATGGGTGTTTGGTGCAGAGAAGAAAGACTCGTCTGTTGCAGGGGCCAGAGAAGGGCTTAATTAAATTTGCATTAATATCTAAGGATATTTATAGTAAGGAAATATTGGAATTTTTGATGATATTAAGATATACTTTTTAATTAAATTCAGCCAGGTGCACGGCAGAGGGTGATTGAGCTGCTGAGCAATGCAAGGGGAACGGGGAAAATGGACTTGTATTTAGAGACATAATCTGCTATGGAGGTACCAGGAGCAGCTGGGAGGTGGGAAGAATGCTGGTCAAATGTTGCTGCACCACTCTGTCCTGTGATTTTCTATGAATAAAAACAAAACTAATTTTTGGACTATATGCAGTTTGTTGGACACAATGAAAAATGCTGTACTTGGTTGCTAAGTGCCCTGCATATGAAGCAGGCTGAAGTCCACTCAGCTAATTAACCTGAATTCATCACATCCATGCTGAATAAAAGAATATACTAACTATACAGTATACTAGTTTTTATAGCAACCATGTTTATGAGGACCTCTTCTTCCCCCTTCTCAATAGCTGCTAAATACAAATCCTTTAAATACTAATCCTTTCAATATAATTCATTATAAATCAAATTAAAAACTGAAGAACCATCAGATTAAACATATTTTTGGAGCTATTGAGAATACTTCTGTGTAAAGACAATTGCATATGCCTCAACTTCTGACAGTGAGTGGCAAAGCTGTTAAAAGAAGAGAGAAATCTTTTAAAGAAAAAGATACAGGGCCTGATTCAAAGCCCTTTCTGTTCATGTCCACAGAAAGACTCTCATTGACTTGAATGGGCTTTAGATCTAGGCTTTTATTGCATTTCAGTGCAATTTAGTGAAGAGAGCAGTAGGCCAAAAATTTTCACATTTGGATGCCTCAAATTAGCCACATAAATCCATATTTAGACTCCTACATAAGTGGCCTGATTTTCAGAGGTGCCAAGTACCTGCAGCTCCCATATACTTCAATAGGGAAGGTGGGTGCTCAGCCTGTATGGAAATCAGGCCTTTTTTTTTTCTTTAGGTATCTAAATATGGATTTAGGTGGCTAACTTTTAGGCACCCAAATTTGAAAAAAATGGCTTAGGTCAATTTACTAGATGAGGAGCTTGATTCTCTTTTCACTCCTATTATACGCCTATGGAAAGTAACACTTTTGAAGGCAATGGAGTTACACTATTTAAAACAGCCAAAGAGGAGAGTCAGGTCCCAGGGGGCCCAAACTCTGTGATGCCAAGGGCCACACTAGCATTTGCCAGGAGCCAGAGGGCTACACAGAGGGCTACTCTTGAGCCAAAGAGATGTTTAGCAACATAAACTTTCAGTGAAATCTATGGTCCTGGTCTTCTCTTAACTCCAAATAGGAATTGTGGTGCTTAAAACCTCTCAGGTTCAAACTCCTTCATATAGAAATTTATTTTTAAATAAATAAATGTAGACAATATTTATTAGAACATAAGAATGGCCCTACTGGGTCAGACCAAAGGTCCATCTAGACCAGTATTCTGTCTTCCGACAGTGGCCAGTGCCAGGTGCCCCAGAGGAAATTAACAGAACAGGCGATCCATCCCATCCATCCATCCATCAAGTGATCCATCCCCTGTCGCTCATTCCCAGCTTCTGGCAAACAGAGGCTAGGGACACCATTCCTGCCCATCCTGGCTAATAGCCATTGAGGGACCTATCCTCCAGGAATTTATCTAGTTCTTTTTTGAACCCTATTATGGTCTTGGCCTTCACAATATCCTCTGGCAAGGCGTTCCACAGGTTGACTGTGCGTTGTGTGAAAAAAATACTTCCTTTTGTTTCTTTTAAACCTGCTGCCTATTAATTTCATTTGGTGACCCTTAGTTCTTGTGTTATGAAAAGTAGTAAACAACACTTCCTTATCTACTTTCTCTACACCGGTCATGATTTTATAGACCTCAATCATATCTCCCCTTAGTCATCTCTTTTTCCAAGCTGAAAAGTCCCAGTCTTATTAATCTCGCCTCATACGGAAGCCGTTCCATACCCCCTAATCATTTGTGTTGCCCTTTTCTGAACCTTTTCCAATTCCAATATATCTTTTTTGAGATGGGGCGATTGGTAATTGGTAATTGTTTTTGCTGTGATCAGTTAATTTAAATTGCTTATTTGCCTCCATAAACCATAAAAATCTGGAGTTGATTAGCTTTGTCATCACTTTGCAGCTACAGAAAGAGAGTGACAGTGAGCATCTGTGGGGCATGTTTTAGGTTTCATGGGTCACATTTGGACTTCAGGCCACAGTCTGGCTGTCCCTGTGCTATACACTGTATTCTGAAAGGTAGATTCTATAAAGGTAAAATAGCTCCAACTTGCAATTGGCATTTTAAAAATTAATATATGCACATGTGCCCACAGACCATATGATAGGCGCAAAAATCTATAAATATACATATTTTCTAAATATAGTATTTGTTTTGTTTTTATTCACTGAACTAGTAAACATGAATCAGCAACTGATATTAAATGGTGCACTGTCACTCCTTTTACCTATTCTTTCATTGAGATAATGCTGGAAATTATTGTAAAGGAGAAGAGCTGCTTTAAATGTTCCCCAAGCAATTACAACTAAAGATTAAAGGGATGATCAAACTAGTGGGGGGGAAAAAGCTGGTTGAGTTTGAAAATGCTTCAGATAGTGATTTTTTCCCTGGTTGTTTCTTTTCCAGGACCTGCTAACAAGACACAAGTTGTTGGTAGCAGATTTCCTAGAACAAAATTATGACACAGTAAGTACAAATAATTTCCAGCCTTAATGGTTTCATATATGTTCCTGCAAACATTACTGTGAGGAGTCCACCCTCACTTGGATCTGAACTGGAAACCTTTTGTAGGGGCATTTCGGCTCCACTCAGAAAAAAACATTAAAAATAAGTGGATCTTCTTGATTCTTTGTGTCAATCAGAACTGTTCATTTAACAGCACAGTTCCTCCATTTCCCAGGCGAGGGATCCAATTGGGACAGCAGCAGTAGGACTTCAGGGAAGATGCCTGTACTTCAGCAGCTATTTGAATCCTACTTTCTAATCTCATAAACAGAGCATGTGCAGCTGAGGGCTACATGCCCCACCTAAAACTTTTACTTAGAACCAAGCATTGCACCCTATAAGCCAAAATAATTAGTTTTACCAAGGGAGAATCCTCCTTAGCTATCTGTAGAAATAATACTTATATCCTGTTTACAGGCTTCCAGATTTCTAGTACAACTCCATGTCAAAAGCAAATCTTGTTTAGGATGTGAAACAGTAGAGGGGAAGAATCTATTCTTGCTTCATTGCACACAACATAACTACATTAACACTAGTGGGAGCTACACGTGTGTACAGATATTAGACCAATTTTATTTTTAAAATATTTATCTTTTGCTACAGTTCAGTTCCACCTGGTCAGTGTTAGGGAATAGCTAGTGGTCATTCGTGTCCCAGTAATGCTTCAGGATAGAGGACAAGAGTTACTAGAATTTATTTTAGTGTTACTGGAAATTATGTCTTTGTAAATCCCAAGGGATTTTGAGATGTGAATATACCTGTTATCATCCTAAGTAAGTTAGTCTATTGGTATATTGCCATTTCTCTTTGGTTTAAAATATCTCTGAAAATCAAGTGTAGGTCAGAAAAATTCTGTTGGAATCAACTGAAATTGGGCTGACATGGGTGGTGGAATTTGACAGAAGATTAAGTTGTCATGTTACCTTCAAGCTTGCATGCTGCTGAGTCACAAATGCAGTGTGACTCAGGCAATTTGTATATCTTCACTTATTCTCTATATCTCTGTACTAAAGCACTGTGATAAAATGACTGTCTTGAGTTTGTGTAGCACTGATGCTCAAAGTACATGTAATGGAGAATAATGTTCTTCAAAGGACACCCAGTCAACAAACAGAAATCTGTTTTATCAGCTAGACAGACTGCTACATGTTCAAAACTATCACTGGTACCTCTTTGAATCATAGAAGATTAAGGTTGGAAGAGAACCTCAGGAGGTCATCTAGTCCAACCCCCTGCTCAAAGCAGGACCAACCCCAACTAAATCATCCTAGCCAGGGCTTTGTCAAGCCGGGCCTTAAAAACCTCTAAGGATGGAGATTCTACCACCTCCAGGTAACTCATTCCAGTGCTTCACTACCATCCTAGTGAAATAGTTTTTCCTAATATCCAACCTAGACCTCCCCTACTGCAACTTGAGACCATTACTCCTGTTCTGTCATCTGCCATCACTGACAACAGCCTAGCTCCATCCTCTTTGGAACTCCCCTTCAGGTAGTTGAAGGCTGCTATCAAATCCCCCCTCACTCTTCTCTTCTGCAGACTAAATAAGTCAAGTTCCCTCAGCCTCTCCTCATAATCATGTGCCCTAGCCCCCTAATAATTTTCGTTGCCCTCTGCTGGACTCTCTCCAATTTGTCCACATCCTTTCTGTAGTGGAGGGGTCCAAAACTGGACACAATACTCCAGATGTGGCCTCACCAGTGTCGAATAGAGAGGAATAATCACTTCCCTCGATCTGCTGGCAATGCTCCTACTAATGCAGCCCAGTATGCCGTTAGCCTTCTTGGTAACAAGGGCACACTGTTGACTCATATCCAGCTTCTCGCCCACTGTAATCCCTAGGTCCTTTTCTGCAGAACTGCCGCTTAGCCAGTCGGTCCCCAGCCTGTAGCAGTGCATGGGATTCTTCCATCCTAAGTGCAGGACTCTGCACTTGTCCTTGTTGAGCCTCATCTGATTTCTTTTGGCCCAATCTTCCAATTTGTCTAGGTCACTCTGGACTCTATTGCTACCCTCAAGCGTATCTACCTCTCCCCCCAGCTTAGTGTCATCCACGAATTTGCTGAGGGTGCAATCCATCCCATCATCCAGATAATGATGATGTTGAACAAAACCAGCCCCAGGACTGACCCCTGGGGCACTCCGCTTGATACCAGCTGCCAACTAGACATCGAGCCTTTGATTACTACCCGTTGAACCCGACGATCTAGCCAGCTTTCTATCCATCTTATAGTCCATTTGTCCAATCCATACTTTTTTAACTTGTTGGCAAGAGTACTGTGGGAGATGGTATCAAAAGCTTTGCTAAAGTCAAGATGTATCACGTCCACTGCTTTCCCCATATTCAAAGAGCAAGTTATCTCATCATAGAAGGCAATCATAGGTTGGTCAGGCATGCCTTGCCCTTGGTGAATCCATGTTGACTGTTGCTGATCACCTTCCTCTCCTCCAAGTGCTTTAAAATGGATTTCTTGAGGACCTGCTTCATGATTTTTCCAGGGACTGAGGTGAGGCTGATTGGTCTCTAGTTCCCCGGATTCTCCTTCTTTCCTTTTTTAAAGATGAGCACTATATTTGCCTTTTTCCAATCGTCCGGGACCTCCCCCGATTGCCACAAGTTTTCAAAGGTAATGGCCAATGGCTTTGCAGTCACATCAGCCAACTCCCTCAGCACCCTCGGATGCATTAGATCCGGACCCATGGACTTGTGCATGTCCAGCTTTTCTAAATAGTCCTTAAACTATTTCACCACTGAGGGCTGCTCATCTCCTCCCCATACTGTGCTGACCAGTGCAGCAGTCTAGGAATGGACTTTGTGAAGACCGAGGCAAAAAAAGCATTGAGTGCTTCAGCTTTTTCCACATCATCTATCACTAGGTTGCCTCCCACACTTTCCCAGACCACCACCTTGTTGCTAACGTACCTGTAGAAACCCTTCTTGTTACCTTCACATCCCTTGCTAGCTGCAACTCCAGTTGTGCTTTGGCCTTCCTGATTACACCCCTGCATGCTTGATCAATAATTTTATACTCCTCCCTAGTCATCTGTCCAAGTTTCCACTTCTTGTAAGCTTCCTTTTTGTGTTTAAGCTCACCGAAGATTTCTCTGTTAAGCCAAGCTGGTCACCTGCTATATTTGCTATTCTTTCTGCATATCGGGATGGTTTGTTCCTGCGCCCTCAATAAGGCTTCTTTAAAATACAGCCAGATCTCCTGGACTCCTTTCCCCCTCATGTTAGCCTCCCAGGGTATCCTGCCCATCAGTTCCCTGAGGGAGTCAAAGTCTGCTTTTCTGACATCCAGGATCCGTATTCTGCTGCTCTCCTTTCTTCCTTTTGTCAGGATCCTGAACTCGACCATCTCATGGTCACTGCTGCCCAGGTTGCCACTTCTACTTCCCCTACCAATTCTTCCCTGTTTTGTGAGCAGCAGGTCAAGAGGAGCATGGCCCCTAGTTGGTTCCTCCAGTACTTGCCCCAGCAAGTTGTCCCCAACACTCTCCAAAAACTTCCTGGATTATCTGTGCACTGCTGTATTGCTCTCCCAGCAGATGTCGGGGTGATTGAAGTCCCCCATGAGAATAAGATACCTGGAGACCCAAAGTGTGACGGGTTGGATCACAGAAACCTCCTTGGGAGGCGCCACCTGATGTGCCAAGACTACCCCTGCTTCTGTTTTCCCTGCCAGCTCAGGACTCCAGCACCCTGTCTTGCTGAATTAGACACTCCAGTCCCCTTCAACACAGACCCAGGGTCTGAATCACTTGTCCCAAAGCTGCAAGTTTACCTGAAAACAGCTTACAGTAGTGTGCTTGTCTTTAGCACTCAGATGCCCCACTCCCAATGGGGTCTAAACCCAGATAAATCCGTTTTACCCTGCATAAAGCTTATGCAGGGCAAACTCATAAATTGTTCGCCCTCTATAACACTGATAGAGAGATATGCACAGTTGTTTGCTCCCTCGGGTATTAATACATACTCTGAGTAAATTACTAAATAAAAAGTGATTTTATTAAATACAGACAGTAGGATTTAAGTGGTTCCAAGTAGTAACAGACAGACCAAAGTAAGTCACAAGCAAAATAAAATAAAATGCGCAAATCTATGCCTAATCAAACTAAATACAGATAATCTCACCCTCAGAGATGCTTTAGTAAGTTTTTCTCAGACTGGACACCTTCCAGGCCTGGGCACAATTCTTTCCCCTGGTACAGCTCTTGTTCCAGCTTAGGTGTTAGCTAGGGGATTCTCCATGATGGCTCCTCTCTCCCTCTCTCTTCTGTTCCACCCCTTTATATATTTTTTGCATAAGGCGGGAACCCTTTGTCCCTCTGGGTTTCCACCCCCCCTCACTGGAAAAGCACCAGGTTAAAGATGGATTCCAGTTCAGGTGACATGATCACATGTCACTGCAAGACTTCATTACTCACTTGCCAGCACACACATATACAGGGAGACTCACAGGTAAACACAGTCATCTGCAGACAATGGGAGTCATCAAGATTCCAAACCATCATTAATGGCCCACACTTTACATAATCACAATAGGCCCTCAGAGTTACATTTTATATTTCTAGTTTTAGATACAAGAGTGGTACATTTATACAAATCAAATGATCATACTCGGTAGATTATAAGCTTTGTAATGATACCTTACAAGAAACCTTTTGCACGAAGCATATCCCATTTGCATTATAGTCACTTATCAAATTTTTATAAAACTATCCCAGTTACATTATATTCACTTATTATCATGTTTTTATAAAACCATATAGACTGCACAACGTCACACCAAAGCATAATCTGTTCCTGTTTGGCCTGAGCCTGTGAGGTGTGTTGAAGCCAGTTGAGCTGAGGGCAGGCAGCACCTTGCAGGAGGCACCCACACCACCTTGCAAGATTGGGCTCGCTCTTTTTTCAACAAATGGAGACATTGGGTATGTCTACACCACAAGAAAAAAAACCCCTCACAGCAGTGAGTCTCAGAGCCTGGGTCAACTGACTCAGGTTTGCTGTGGCTAAAATAGCAGTGTAGATATTCTGGCTTGTGCTGGAGCCTTGGTTCTGTTACCCTTCCCAGGTTTCAGAGCCCAGGATCCAGCCCAAGCTGGAACATCTATATTTACTCCTCGGGGAATACTGTGCATGCTTCCCTGCAGAAAAATGACTTTCTGACAGGGAAGCAAAGGGAAGCAACAGCAGCCAGACACCACTCCCTAGCTGCGAAGTTACATCATTTCAGGCACTTGGAGCAGCTGGTAGAGAGGTAAATCACCGCAGGGCTGTGGACACCCCAGCCAGTGGCTCCTACCCTGAGCTGGGATCAGCTGCTAGTCCCGGCTGGGCTGGAGGCAGGAGAGAACAGGATTTCCTCTTCCCCTGCAAGGAGTGGCTGGGGCTGTGTCAGACCCACCCCCAGAAACCTCCCCAGCTGCAGGAAGCTCAGCATCCTCCCCTGCTTCCTGCCCCTATCGCTCCCCAGCTGCAGGGGGAGGGGTCACTGTACAGGGACCTGCTCCCCCATCCTCCCAGACCCCGTGCATCTGGACCTCCCATAGCCAGATACCTCCACCAAGCCTCACCCCCTGCATCCAGACCCCTTGCCTCCGGACCCCTGCAGCCAGACCACCCCCCCACTGAGCTCCCTGCACTCAAACCCACACCCTGATGAGCCCCATCCCCTGCACCACCCTGAGCCCCCACATCCAGACCCCCATGCCACCGGCCCCCAACTAGCTGCACCAGACTCCCACCCCAACAAGCCCCATTCTCCCAGCACCCAGACCCCCCAGCTGAGACCCCCACACCAAGACACCTCCTCTGAGCCCCAACCACTTTCACCTGGAAGCCCCTGCAGAGTCCCATTGCCCCTGCACCTGGAACCCCACCCCCCCACAACGAGCCTCTGTGCATCCAGATCCCCTCACACTTAGACCCCCCACTGAGCTGCCTGCACCAGATTGTCCCACACAGAATCCTGTCACCCCATACCTGGATCTCCCCACACTGAGCCCCTCCACACTTGGATCCTGCCTGGTTGAGCCTGCCTGCCCCACACGTGGTGCGCCTGGCGTAAAGGGGCAGGGCCCTAGGGTATTTCTAGGGCAGGCCCAGGCCTTGTGCTGTTTTAGGGTCAGGTGCAGCCTCACCACTGAGTCTGTGTCCTGGGGGTGGGGAGTGGGGAAGCTGCAGGGTGATCTCTCACCTTTATGCAGCCAGTGGCCTGTGCTCCCCACTGCCATGCTGGAGCCTCTGCATTTATTTATTGACAAATAAAACTTCCAGAATTTTTAATTTTTTGTCACAGAATTCCCTCAGGAGTATATACTGCCATTTTTAGCTCTATAGCACAAGCCCAAGTCAGTGGACCTGGATTCTGAGACTCACTGCCACAGGGTTTTCTTTGCTGTATAGACGTTCCCATTATATCCTAAACAATAAAGGACAAATTGTGCCCTGAGATACAAATGAACAACTCCCACTGAAATCAGGGTGTGTTAAACACATACATCTGAGGGCAGATTTGGCTCTGAGAATGAAGTTTGTGGCAATGCAGACAAATGCCCACCATTGGCATGTAGCGAGATGGGAGGTATCATTCCATGTTCACTCCTTGAGTGATGAGACAGCCAGGGACTGGGTTCTTTGACACAGCACCCTTTCATTTTAACAAACATATTTTTGCTTATTTTTTTTAATTGCAACAGCATGAACAAGCTAAAGTTAGCTTCAAATAAGACATGCATTAAATTTGTTTGCATATATAACCTCATTGTTCAAATATACAGCCATACCAACCAGGCAAAAACAGTGAATGATATTTCAACATGAGAAAGATCAACCAGGTCAAGAAGAAATTGTGACCATCAAATTGTCACCATCACCATTTAAGTCTGGTTAACAATAATAAACATTTTGTTAACCAAATTTTCCAAGGTGCTGTTCATTTTAATGGCCAAAGTGTAATGTGCAGGTAAGGCATTTGAGTGCCACGTTGAACTTGCATCACATAGTGTGATCTAGTGGTTAAAGTGGGGACTGGAGGTCATGGCTCTTGTATATTATTTTCCTAACTGCTGTTAATGCTGGATGAACTTGAACAAGTCACTTAAAACCTCTGCATTATGAATCATGTGAGCTGATCCCTGCATGGAGCCCTGACTCCCCAGGGCTCTGTGCAAACACAAAGCTCCACCCATCTGGTACTCAGTGCAGGATTGGAGCCTGAGGGTACATCTACATCGCAGCTGAGCGTCTGCGTCTCACCACAGGCAGGCTTACACACACTAGCTCTGTGTGAGCTAGTTTGCTAAAAATAGCAGTGTGGCCATGGCAGCATAGACAGCGGCACAGTCTAGCCGTCTGAGTGATTGGCTCTTGCTTCCCACAATCATTAATTAAAACCCTGAGGTTTCATGGCCCTGAGTCTTGCCCCATTTTTAGCAGATCTTTGTGTCATATGCCAATGGAGCTACACTTATGAATAAACGGAGCTACATTGATTTTAGTTTCATTAAACTACATTACATTTTTTATAAAATAAAATGAAACTATGCAAGCACTACACAAAGTAGTATTCTCATTACCTTTTCCTCCCATTCTAACCACTTGGTATAACATGTTGAGTCTCTCCCCAAATTCATATTGTTTTTTCAGCGCTGATTATCTGTTTGTAAATCACTATGGCCACCTATGGCTCTGTCTACATTTAATGAACAAGAACTGCAAAATGTCTTAGCACAAGAGATCTGATCCTGGATGGTGCTGAGCAACCCTCAACTCCCACTAACTCAATGGGACTTTGAAAGTCCTCAGAACCTAGTGAGGCCCAGAAACTGTAACATTAAGAGGAGGCATTATAAACATTGCATGACTCCATTACATTTCTCTGTGTCTCAGTTATACTGCCCCGTGCTGTGTTTGCAGTGCCTTCATTTTGATCTTTAAGCCTCCAAGGTATAGCGAATAGTAATGACAATGAGGACAACTGAAGTGAAGCAAAAAGGAAAATTGGCAAGTTAGATGCGTGCATAGAAACCCACTAAAAATAGCAATGTCACTCTAACAAGCCAGACTTCCACCATCCTTCTCTCTGTGTCTTTCCAGGGACATAGATGGCATTCTACTTATATAACCCTATGTTGGTATAACAGTTACCGCAGATGGTCTTTGGTTACTAATGTTATATTTGTGTGTTCTATTTTGGCAGCAAATTCATAATCTTGTATAAGATGATGGCATAAGGTGTGAATCACAAGGGCACTAAGTTCCTGATTCTCTGGTGGATTCACATGTGCAAGCAAACACTGATTGGATGTTGCTAATCAGTGGTCAATATGGGCTGGGCTCTGGCATCATAAAGAAGTGCCAGAGCTATGCTGCTGCCATCGCAAAGCTTAGTGCAGGAAGGACCAGTACAGGGGGATGGGGAGAAGGAAGAATATGGCTACCCTGGTTTTTTCTTGTTCCCTTAGATCTTTGAGGACTATGAAAAACTGCTTCATTCTGAGAATTATGTCACAAAGAGACAATCTTTAAAGGTAATGTAAAATTCCTGAACACTTTTCTTTTAATAGCCATAACATGCTCAGACTATTACACAGACTGTCACAGAGTGGCCTTAGATACTTCTTTTTTTGGTTACAAAAGAAATTCTTTTAAATTAATCTACTGCTTGTGCAAATCAGGAGGTATCTTTATGTCACTGCATTGGGGTTAGGATTGAGAAGTCGTAGTTCCTGAACTCCTATGGCAAAGCTTAGAGTCCTTTCTCTGAAATGAGGGTGTCATCCTCTTTTCTCAGAGTCACCCGAGTTCACAGCCTAGTTCAGAACACATGTGGGAGTGAGTTTGGTAGGTTTGTTGTAGTCCCCATTTGTCCATGCACCAAGCAATTTGGTAAAATCTGCAGTCTCCTCATGACTAGAACAGGAAAGTATGGGGCATGTAAGGATTGAGGTGAATTAGCAGAACAATGTGGGGTGGTTGTACTTGCTTTTATTTTATCTGGCTCAATCCAACTGTTACTCTATGCATTAATATGATATCTAGCTCTGCACAATTTGCATGATCAGTGCTATTGGACAGTTATCTCACTTGCGTGTACTGCAAATTCACCTCAGTTTTTTTAAAGGCCCTCCATTTTTTAAGCCACCATGGCCTAAGATAAGACTCTATTGAAACCTCTGGGGGTGAAGACAAAAATGTGATGCTTACATCTGAATCATAAATTCTGTGGTGAGTCACAAAGCCTTTGTTTTTGTAAATGTTCCCATAGCTGCTGGGTGAACTGATTCTGGACCGACACAACTTTGCCATCATGACAAAATACATCAGCAAACCAGAGAACCTGAAGCTAATGATGAACCTGCTGCGAGATAAAAGCCCCAACATTCAGTTTGAGGCATTCCATGTGTTCAAGGTAACTCAGCATAGCCTTCAGAGAGGAAGGAACCTCTCTTTCACTATGGGAGGGAGGAGAACCCAGAAAAATGTGGGGTTTTACAAACCATTTCAAACATTTGAAAATATTTTAATTAGAAATTTCTCCCTGACAGTTCTCTCTCGCGCTTGCTTGCCCTCTCTAGGTGATGTCTAAGGCAGGGTCATTTGGGTCTGGGCCTAGTGATCTGAGGGGGCCCTTGTTACAGCAATGCATTATTAGAAAGGGGTGACAAATTGCCTGGCTGATTGCTGCAGGTAACCACTTGCTGTGGTCGATGGTGCTCTCCTCAGCCTCCTTAGGTCATGTCACAGTGACTCTGGGTAAGAATTGGGGGAGTCATGTGATTCCAAAATATTTGATATGGATGGCACCCAGCAATCAGATATTACAGTGCTGGGTAAGAACCTAGATAGACAGACAGTGTTGGCTCTCTGGGTGAGGCAGAAGCAAGTGGGAATTTTTATATTATTTCAAGAGATTTGCCTTTGATAAGTTTGAGCCCAGCATATGCTTAATCCTCCTCTTTCTGGTTCTGTTTTGCACTGATCACTAATGCAGCCTTACAAAATTGTCATAAAAATATTATCAGCCCACGCACATACACTACTTTCTTTTATCATCATGATTTGATTAAATTTTTTAAATTTTATTTACCCATCAAAAAAGTTTTTTGCCCTGAGCAAGAAGATGAGTAGAATTATTATTATTATGCAGAGCTACTATAATGCAAAATTAACTCATAAATATGTATGGCTGTATTTTCATAGTTTGAACAGATTAATTTGCAGAGAAGAGGGATAAAACCTACGGGAGGGGGGAGAATGTCCTTCTCTGGGAGATGTTTATAAAACAGACCACATTGCACCAAATGGCAAGTATTTTCAAAAATTACATCACCCTCAGAATGTTCAAAAAGGCTTTTTGAGGCCTTTGATTCTGCCATTTCTATTGTGCAAAAGATCTTTCAGCAGGCATTTACATCTCCAGCATGCGGCTTGAAGGATGGTATGGCTGCTCCATACAATCTTTCATCTACGTAAAGTAATCACAGGGATTCCCAACATATTTCAATATTTTGCTTCCTGCATAATAAGCCTCAGTGATGCACTTAATTACTTGTGTAAGCCTTTGACTTATTCTTGACAACCAAACTGCTGTGAGTAGCTTCTGCTCTTACCCCTTATCAGGAGGTATGCAGCTCAAATATAAGTTGGGGAGAGCAAATCCCAAATACTTGCAGTCTTTAAGAGCTCAAATGTCAGGGGAGGGAAGAGAAGAGAGAGATTTGGTCTCTGTTAGCTACTTTTTCATATTTACTAATAGTCACGTACTTATGCATGGAACTTCTATGCATGAAGTGCAGTCCCTGAATTAATCCATAAGGCCACTACCATCTATTGTTTCAGATTCCTCTTAAGCACCCAGTTCTGCTGGGCTGTTCCAAGAAATCAGACAGTGATGAATAGATGATTTTATTTATTTATTTTGTTTAAAATAGAAATTTGAGGATTTGGAGTGATCTGTAATCATAACTATCTATGTAACCATATGATATAATTACTGTCACCCTCATCCTTCCTCCCAGTGTCCACCGTCCTTTTGTTTCTCGTGCTCGAAGCATCCAGTTCGTAGGCTCTTCAGTGCAGGGACAGTGCCTACCCATGTATTTTGTGCAGTGCCTAATGCAACGGGGCCCTGATCCTGACTGGGACTTTTGACACTATGTGAAACAAATAGTGAATGATATTGCAACCCTCGTTGAGTCAGTGCGCCAAATTCTTTCCTCAGCTCCATGAGACTCAATAATATTTTTACAATAATATCGGATGGCAGCAGTTAGACATGAATGTAATACGTACAGTATTCATCTTACAGTTTTCTATGGGAGTTGTACCATGTAATTCAGAGCAGAATCTCATCCAATGGAAGTTGCACATTTCTAACTGAGAGCACAATGTAGCCCATAGTTGCAGCAGAATCCCTCTCTCCAGTCTGCAGCATAGCTCTCTCTTGTATATTCAATTCTTGTTCCACATGTGCAGAATAAGTATAGAATACGCACGAGAGAAGGGCACTGAGCATTTTGTCCTGAGTTTTCCTTTATTAATAAATTCTATGCTGATGATGGGAACCAATCCAGGAAATCCCTAAATATGAAAGAGGATGTACGCTTCATGGAAAAACAACTACTGCCCTGTCCCGACGCCCTTTCTGGCAGGTGAAAGGCAGTGATGTGCCTTGTTGCTCTGGGTGCAGAGTCCTTGGGCCTGATTCTCCCCCTGGTTACTCTAGCTGTATGCTGGTGTAACCGAGGGTGGGGGAGGAAGTCGGGCTCTCTGTCTTTATTTTCACATAACTTTAAAACTATGCTGAAAGTATCCAGTTAGTCCTGTTTTAAATTACCACAGAGTGCCAATACCGATATGAAATCAAAGATTTGCCAAGCAGCTGATACTTGCTACTTACTGCGAGCTGCCAAAAGATTTGGGTTTAAATTACCTGACTTGGATGTTTTTGCAGCTAGGCACATTTGAAATGAAAAAAGTGCTTGTTATGTAAGTATCCAAATTCCAGCTCTCCCAGGCCCCAGTTGACCCTGAAGAAGGCATCTGACTCTCAGCTCCTTGAGGCAGGATCTGATTACTGAGGGTTTGAAGCTGCAATATTTTAACTAGAACCATGAGCATCTATAATTCTAAATATTTTACAGTTAAGTTTGATGGTGATTAAAAATGCAATTAACTCTTCAAGCCCAGAGGACAGTCGTACTCATCCAGAGCACTCTGCCCAGAGGTACAGAAGATAAGTAATGAGGTCTCATTTTCAGTACTTCCTCCCATCTAACTGTTCCCTCACCAGCATGACCTCTACCTCCCTCATCATTCCTGCTCCCTCCCTTACCCTTGCTCGAACAAAATGAGACCTCTTCAACCCTTAGCCTCCACCCCACACAACCAGTCACCCACTTATGGCCACCTAAAAGCCTGGGGAATATAGGTAGACCCCAAGTAACAAAAACAAGGGGATTAGTGATTATCTTAAGTGTTAATAAAACCTTTCCTCCCCCCACACACATACCTTTTCTCCCTCTCCATTCCAGCAGGAGAATCAATATCTGGTTTGGAAGTTGAACAATAAAAGGGTCTTTCTGAATACTCATGTGTTTTCTTTTGACAAATATGTGTGTTACTATTATTGGTCCATCCAAGTATGTGATTTTTGCTTCTTTGTTCTCTTGCAGGCAATCAAAAGTAAAGTACACTGCAGTATATTGCACACAATGCACATACAGATATAGGATAGTATCAGCCTCTTTTGACTATCATGTTAAACAATTCAATTATTTTGTGAACTCACCCCACAGTGGTGGTTCAGGATAATATAACATTTTTCTTAAGCAGAGATGTAGCAAGATAGGTTTTAGTGTTTAAATCTAAAAATAGATTGACCTTAGCTTCATTTTTCCATTCTCTTTCATGCACACCACAAAGCTACCTCCTGTCGCTCACTCTGCAAACGGTTCTGCATAACTTGACAATACTGACCGTTTCTGCTCAGCATGGGGCAGAAGCCGAGTTTGTGTTATTTCTGAGCTATAGACTTGATAATTCTTTGGTCTGTGGGGGATGTTGTAGGTGCAGCTACGTGAGCTTTCGTGCACTTCTAGCGAGGTGGTAATCCCCTTGCGATGCATATGAGAAAATCATGGGACCAGTTTCAGCCCTGGTGGGTCAATTGGCCTGTTAATGTATAGAGTTATGCATGCTAGATTTGGACCATAATCTCTAACCATTTGAAAGTAGGTCAGAGGTTGCAGTGAACTATTCTCATCAAGATCCTGTGACATTCAGTAGCCTTGGCCTCCGTGCTTAAAAAAACAAAGATTATCAGTGACCACACAATGACGCATCCAGCATCAGACCATTTTAGTATCTTTATCCCTGTTGTGTTCCCTTGGGATGATGATGACGCGTTGTCATTAATTGTGAGAACCAAGGTCAGACTCCAGAACTCTCTGATCAAATACTTTATGGAGTGTACAGTTTATCAATTTTGATGGACAATACTGATTTAAAGCCAGCTAGAGGACAACAGTTCTATTTCATGGCAACTTTTGAGTTTTGACATTTGTTTTCATTCCGTGTTGGAATGAAAAAAAACAACCTTTCAAATATTTTCACAAAGTGGAGTTGTCAAAACTCCTCAGAAGTGACCAGAGAACTCTCAATCACAAAACCCTTCCTGACAGATATGTTGTTGAAACTAATATATCTCCACAAAATTATTTTTTCAGAAATATTCCAACTAGCTGGAATACTGATGTTGTTTCCAGGGATATATCTTTTTTTTTTTTTTTATTGTCTTCAAGCGAAGCATTAGCAGGAGACTTTAAAAATAAAACCTCATACTGGATCTAGCCTCAAGGTATAAAGATTCTTTGTTGTAGATATGTGTAAAGTTTCTTTGTTTCAATACTGTGACATTGTGGTACTGTAGTTGATTGAGGGAGCCGGTCATTCAGTTTTACAATCCTTTTATGATCCCAGGGTTTGAAAAAAGTATTTGTGAGTTGAAATTGAGTCCTGCAGTAGGTCTAGTAGTCAAAAGATGATTTACATTTGAGTTTTCTATCTTTTATGCCAGTTTTTCAGGGGGAGGATTATAACCTATAAGCAATCAGACAAGAAGCTAAAGAATTCAGTCTAATAGGAGACATCATCTCACGTTTAATCATTTGCTATGCTAATACATATTTTAGGCTACAGCCAGTGTTAAAATTAAATCCTTTCAAGCATGTTCACAGGCTGTTCCTTTCACACTATGTAGATACAGTGGTGGTCTAAATGTTCAAATTGACTAATCATTTTTGGTACTTTAATTTTTGTGTGGGACATCTTAAAGGGGCCTGGTTTTCTGTGGATGGGTGCTTTTTGCATGTCAGGCTCCTTTAAGGTGTCTCAGATGGGGCACCCAAATCATTAGATACTTCTGAAAATGCAAGACATTGCAAATACATTTGCATTGTGCTCTCTCAAACAATTCTTTTATTTATCTGAACTGTGGGAAACAACATGCAATTTGTTTAATAGGGTTATTTGTAATGGAAGGAATGTTTTTAAATGGCCAAAGCAGTGGCTGAACAAACTCTATCTGTACCTCTCAGTGCACTCAAAGGGGCCATGAGCTGACTACCTCTCAGAACAAGGAACGTGCCCCTAATAACAGACACTACTTTTTGAGAACTTGAAGCATCTGGCAAGGAGGTTGCTCTAAAGGGGTTGTGGTGAAGTCTTGCACTGCTGAGTCAGGTGCCATTGCTTGTGAACATCTAGAGGTCACCAGGAATTAAAAGAAGTCCATGACTTTAAAAGTTCCGAACAAAGGGCCGGATTGTTGAAAAGAGGACTCTTGTGGGTGCAATCTGCACCTTGTGGTATGGTGGGGGAGCTGCTTCAGTGGCCTTGTCCTTCCTGGGATGTAGGAATCTGCACAGGGGCTGGGATCTAGGCTGGGGAGACATATGCTTAGGCATCAGTACAGGCTACAGCTTCTTGCTGTGGAACCTCCCTTTGAAGGAGGCTGCAGATCTAAGCAGGAGAAGCCCTCAGAGCCAGACTAACGAGGAGCCAAAAGAGAGTTACAGGGAGGACAAAAGGCAAGTGCCTCCCAAGTACGGGATTGCTACAAAGGGAAGATTCCAGCTTCTCACCTGGGTGACCCACAGACAGCACCTCCAAGGCACTGGGCTGGCAGTGAGCTGTGTATGTAAGCGTGTTACACTATCCTTCTGCTCTGCCTCACTGCTGTGTCCTTGTGAGCTTAGCAAACAGATTGAAATGTACGTGGATCCTGCTCTTGTAAATTTCCATTCACAGACTGCTTGCTAAAATGGACTAGGGTGAAGTGGAGGATGTGACCTAAGTTCACAAACCAAAACAAATCTGCTTGGTCTAATTTTAGGCCATTTCAGTTTAATATGGAAATTCTATCACCAACACAAGACTCGTCTCTTCTCCCAGTAAATATGGTTCTAAGACATTTCATGTTGGAGGGCTGTATATGTGGAAGTGATCAGGGATTTATAGCCAACTTTCAACAGCTGGCATTACAATCAAACCATTTGTCAATAAAAGGAACAGAATAAGGGAGAGTGATAACAAGGTCAAGTGTAACTTCACTTCCAGCTGCTAATGAGCAAGATCATGGGAAACTTTAACGTATGTTTAAGATACAGGGTTAGATTTTCTTTCCTGTTTTGGCCGCTTTGTGCTACTAAAGGGCCAAGAAAGCTGTTGGAGCTCCTCAGCTAATATGTGGCTAGCACAATCTGTTCCTATGCCCTCCCTGCAGCTCCGGAGGCATAGATGCTTGTCAGAAATGGAAGGGTCATGGTCAGAGTGCAACTGCACTAATCCCCAGCTAGCAGACAACCTCTTGGGAGCCAGAGCCAGCTGTCCTACTTTAGACTAAAGGATCTTGGAGGCTACTATAAAGTATGCTGGGCCTGAGGTCAGTATAGAACTGGCCACAGGGTCAGGTAGCTGCAAACAACAAATATGCAGCCCCTTCCCTCTCCCCCTCACTGGGTACTGCGCTCAGTGGATACACAGTAGGCACCAGAGAATCTGGCCACCAGCATTCAGTTGACTCAACAGAGAATGATGTAGGGCAATGTCATGACTCTGATTGTTCATCCCTCTCTTTCTGTCTCTCTGTGTGTGTGGTTTTGTTTGCATATTAGGTATTTGTGGCCAGTCCAAACAAAACGCAGCCTATCGTGGAGATTCTATTGAAAAACCAACCCAAGCTAATTGAGTTTCTGAGCAATTTCCAGAAAGAGAGGACAGATGATGAACAGTTCACCGATGAGAAGAACTACTTGATTAAACAGATCCGAGACTTGAAAAAGCCAACACCATGAAGATCTCCCCTAATTTCCCATCATAGGCATTAAATCATATTTGTTCAGTTCCTCCCACGTGTCATTTAACAACACAATAGCGCTTGAGAAGTGCCTGTTTTAGTTTGATTCTTTGTTCACATAGATGTCAAGGGTATAAAGGTCTTACATGAAAACTTAAAAAAAAAAAAAAAAAAGAGTCTAGAATAATATATTATTTCTAATCAAGTCTGTGATTATTTATGTCAGTTTAGACACCCTCTGTATTAGAAGCTGGTAAGGCAGATTTTCATCTGTGCACTCCAGAAGAATGAACCTCTTTGCTCTTGCTTTTATCAGCAAACTTGAGCTCTCCATAAATGCACAAAGTAGGAGCTCGGAAGATTGTAACTATCTTTTTCTTTGCACTTGTAGTTGTGAATTTGTTTTAGTTCTGCGTGCACATGAGGACTGTGAAAGAGGGTGTTGGGCGACTGACTTATCTGCACTTACGTAGTAGATTTGTTAGCTAAAGCAGTGGGAGATAGATTTGAAAAAATAAGGTTCACATTTTCACTTTATTTTTATGTTCACTCATTCCTTCAGTCTTTTTGATTTCACTCAAGCTCAGAGCTTTCCCACCAGTTTGACCAACTGAACCTGGGAATTAGGCTAATACTTTGGGTGGGGCAGCCAGTGCCCACTGTCTCCCATCCCTCTGTATCTGATCTAACCCTACAGTGCAGCCTAGGCTGCCCCAAACCCCAGTCTTGTAATAAGACTGATCAGGAGAAGTCCTAGCTCCACTGGGAATTAGAACATGCACTTTGAATGGGAGCCAGGCAATACATCAGGGCTAAGGGCAGAGGTGCATTGCTAAGGACCTGCTCCTGCTCCCATTGAAATAAGTGGAAATTTTATCATTGACTTCAGTGGAAACAGAATTGGGCCTTATTCCACTTCGTATTCTGGGCACAGTCCTGAAGCGTGCATCTCCCATTGGCTTCAGTGTCAGTGGGGGCACTCAGCACTTCACAGGAGTGAACCCTAAGCTGAGTCCTAAGGGAAGCCCAGGTAGAGTATCAATGATACAAGCCTAAAGTACCAATACCTGTGCCAATACAGTACCTGTGCCATGGTTGGGAACCCTCTGATGTGGATTCTGTAGTGGTTCAGTTACTGCTCCTTCATACTTGCCTGTGCTGGGAACATCATGCCCAAAACATTCAAACCTGGGGACCTAAATCAGACTCCGAAATTCTTATTTAGGCATCTAAATAGAAATGGCCTAACTCTGAGCAGCTGAGCAACCCCAGCTCCCATAGAGTCAATGGAAGCTGCAGAGGCTCAGCCCCTCTGAAAATCAAGCCACTTCTTGTAGAAGCTTGAACATGGTTCTAGGAGTGTAACTTTGGGCTCGCAGGGTTGCCCTATGTGGTTAGCATGTTCCATTTGATTTGTTCAGATGTGAATGCAGTTTCTTTGCTAGAGGCTGAACATTGTGGAAGGGGAAATCATTGCACTGTGATGTTTGAGATAAATAAAGCCTTGGGTCCAAAAAGAGTTGCCTAGATATTCTTGCCATTTTTCTTCTTCTTCTAGGAAATGGGCGCTGTGATTCTGGGTGTTTTGTTTGGTGGAGGAGGTTGAGAGTGGGGAGAGAACCTCTTGAAGTATTTCTTCTATTAGCTTAAATCTGGGTTTTTCTGTTTTTTGAATGAAACATTACGTTCTCCAGCTATAATTGCATAGCAAACACTTCAGTGAAAGGATAGAAATCAGGTGAGATTTTTGTCCATAAAACTGTTGTATATTAAGGTAATTGAGAATTTAATTTGTATGCTTTAGAAAAGGGGTGAAACCAAACAAATAGGTCATCAACACATGGTTTACTTTGAAGATGTCAGGCATAGACAACAAATGTATATCTTAGCTGCTTGAAATTTTAAAATTATATTTACAAGTTATTAAAGGCATGGTTACTAATCTACACTTTTTAATCACTGTTTATTTTCTTCCCTCACTTCCCCCCCCCACCTTCTCAAAAAACGCCTTCACTTAGAATCTTTTCATTGCTAAATTCTCTCTCTCCCCTCCATAAGCCACAACTTCCACAGATGGAGGAGGACAGATGATCACTTCCTTCAGAGCCAACGTGCTTTGCAAATATCACATTTGCAGCCTTTGCTGGCCCGGGGCCTGACAGTCCCAGGCTACAATCCAATTTGGCCTTCCTGCGACCTTCAGTGCCATGCCACATGGCTGGCACTGACACACTGCGCTTCACTGCTGATAAGGGAGCCTCTCTAGAGTAGCGAGGGGGGTTTGTGTGGAAAAGCTTCAGAGCTATTCACTAAAAGGTCTGATCCTCTGAGCTGTGGAGAGTCTCCTGCAAGGTGCTGAAACCAATGGGAGTTGGGGCATTCAGTGTCTCAGGATGTGCTCAGGACCTCCTAGGAGGGGCCCACATCAGGGACTGCATTAACACATAGGCAGCATAGGGCCTCAGCTCCTAGAGTCATGTGATAACATCAGAATCTCAGTCTTCATCTACAAAAAATGTTCTAGCTCATGTTTGCGAAGCGAGCCAGGTATAACTGATGCAGTGACGCCTGCCTTAGGCTGCAGGCAGCCTGAAACAGTAGCTCTGAAAGGTGTGAACGGCCTCATCCATCTTAGTGGGTTGTTAACTCTGAAACCCACTGCTCTGAGGGGCCCCAGCAGAAGATTCGGTGTGGGCAGATGGTCTGGCTGTTCTCCCCCATTGTGGCTCCAGTAGGGGAAGAGGGACCCATACAGAGAGTCCTATGCCTACAACGGAGTAAGTGGAGCTGTGTCATCTGTCGTCCTGAACATACCCCAGCCTGCCCACAGTGGTCCAAAGAGCGGCGAGGCCCCAGTCTGCCCCAAAAAGTGACACTGGGCACTCCAGAAGCCAGCTCTTGTAAGGGTGGCCACTTCCACCACAAGCAGAAGTGGGACCACAGCATGGGGCTGGGATAGGGGCTAAGGGGGCCCATGCACTGGTGTGCCAAGAGTTCCAGATTGTTAATGTGGCCCTGTACAGAGCCAGACCCATCCACCTCCTTCCAGTTTATTGCACATAGGGCTGGCTCCGTGTTTTCAGTCTAGTATGAAGTTATTTCCAGCACACTCAGGGCAATTCAAAAATCTTTCCCAAACTCAACTTGTTTGGCATTTGTAAAAGGAGAGAGCACCAGAAATGATGGTGATTAAATTAAGCTTGAGGAGCCCATTAGGCTCCATAATAATATTTCACAGCAGGCTGGGACACACATTTCTAATTAGTTGAAAGATGAGGTCTTCTCTGATTCATCTTGGAGTAAAGATAGACTTTTCAATTTCCTTTTGTGCGTCAATCAGGGCTCCTGTTTTGTCTCAGAAACAGCTCCTGACAGGAAATCGCAATTTCTCCCAGGGACTAAAATTAATATCGGTGGGAGCTGGGTGATTCCAAGACACAATTTATCAATGAGAGAGGTGAAAAGAATACTTGTAGGGAGGAGGAAAAAATAAACCAGAGAGGCTTGAGCTGCAGAATCCAGATTCCAAATCCCACCCAAAGGTCAAGGGATGTTTGGATCTGGAGACTTGGTTTGTGGCAACTTGCAGAATGCTGTTACATCTGTACATAGAAACCTTCTTTGATACAGATGAGTGCCTGGAAACTACAAACCAACCCATTTAACTGAGTTTTTAGACAGTTTATTCAAATATGAAGAATTTGACTAAAACAGGCATCACAGTCCTTCCTCTGTAATGAAAAATAAGCTATCCATTCTCAATCTACTTCAACAAATGGGGAAAGAGTTGTCTGATAGGGAACTTGGGCCTTCACTAATTATGGAATTTGGCACTCTGTTTCCATCTGAGTGTTACAGTAAATAGTTCCGCTCAGTTGTGTTTGCCCTACACCCATCTAGTATATTTGGAAAGCACTCTTCTCCGTAGTATCTAGATGCTTCATACAGTAATTAAAACTATGAGAGAGAGAGAGAGAGAGACTGGCATCATGATTCCACATGCCTTAAGTAATTTCAACAGTAAGCCACAAGTCTTCGCTACCCATCAGAATGACATTCGTCTAGGGCAATGGTTCCCAAACTTTAACAGCCCGCGAACCCCTTTCACTAAATTGTGAAATCTCGTGAACACCCTCCTAAAAATGAATATTTTCAGAGATTTAAGTTTTAATTTCCTCAGTGTGATGGATGCCCCAATTGCCGGGCCCCGGAATCTATGAACCTCTGAAAAATATTTTTAATTGAAACTTTTTTTAACGAACATAGAAAAACCAGAAACCAAAAATGTTTCTGTAAAATTTTTTTTGGCTTTTGTTTAAAAAAAATAATAAAATGGTTTCGAATAAAAATAAATTCATTTTTGGTTTTCAAAAATCAGAAAAATGTTTCATGAAAAACAGTTTTTGAAAATGGACCATTTTTCCGTTTCAGTTTTTTGTAAATTTTTCTTGGGGAATTTTGAAAAATGTGAAAAAAAATTCAAAACTTTCTGTGAAAAATGCTTGGTATTTTTCACCCACCTCTAGTTTCGGGTGAGGTTGTGGCTGTTGGTAACAAGGAGGGCTGTGGTTCTGGCTTTAGATGAGATTTGGCAAATTCCTGGGGCTCGGGCTGGGGGTTCGGGCTGCCGGCTCCCACGCTGATGGGGGCGGGGCTTGGGCTGCCAGCCCCTACTGCCCGGCCCCGCTCTCCCTGGGGCTCGGGCTGCCAGCCCCGCGCAGAGCGCTGGGGTTCAGGCTGCCGGCTCCCCCGCTGATGGGGGCAGGGCTCAGGCTGCTGGGCCCAATTGCCCGGCCCCGCTCTCCCTGGGGCTCAGGCTGCCAGCCCTGCGCGGAGCACTGTGGTTCGGGCTGCCGGCTCCCCCACTGACCGCCGGGACTCGGGCTGCCTGCCCCAACTGCCCGGCCCCCAAGGCTCGGGCTGCCGGCTCCCTGGCTGACAGGGGAGGGCTCGGGCTGCTGGATCAAACTGCCTGGCCCCGCTCTCCCTGGGGCTCGGGCTGCCGGCTCCCCCGCTGACAGGGGAGGGCTCAGGCTGCCGACTCAAACTGCCCGCTCTCCACGAGGCTCAGGCTGCCGGCTCCCTGGCTGACAGGGGAGGGCTCGGGCTGCCAGCTCAAACTGCCCGGCCCTGCTCTCCCTGGGGCTCGGGCTGTCTGCCCTGCAACTGGGTCC